GGATCATGACCTGAGCCGAAGGCAGTCGCCCAACCAACTGAGCCACCCAGGCACCCTGTTCAGTTATATTTTTGCTGCTACTATGAACAGTATCTTATAAATCATCTTTTATCTGTCGCTGGTGTATAGAAATGCAGTTGCAAACTTGCTAAATTCTCCCATTCTTATAATTTATAGATTATTTTTTTCTACATAATCATAGACTCTAAAAACAACAATTTTGTTTTTCTATTTCTGTATCAGTTTTCTACTGATGTCTAACAAATAACCTCAAACTTAGTGGCTTAAAACAGTATGCACATTATCTCCCAGTTTCTGTGGGTCACTTAACTGGGTCCCCTCTTCAAGGTCTCACAAGGCTGCAATCAAGGAGTCCGCTAGGCTATGTGACTTTCCAGAGCGTGGGGTCCTCTTCCAAGGTTGGTGGCAGAATTCAGTTATTTGAGGCTGTAGAACTGAGATCTCCATTTTGTTGCAGGCTGTCAGACAGGAGTTGCTTTTAGCTCCTGGGGGCCCTGCAGTTCCCTGCCATGTGGCCCATTCATAGGCCTTTTCAAGACATGGCAGCTTCCTCAAAGCCAGTAGAATTCTCACCCCGTTGGCTAACAAGGAGTCTTACATAATGTAATGTAACCACAAGAGTGACTAATTTCATCACTTTTGCCATAGAGCATAACTCAATTGAGGGAGTGACTACCCCATCACCTTTGCCATATTCTATTTGCTAGAAGCAAATCTCAGGTTCTGTCCATACTCAAGGAGAGGATGTGATTCACTGAGGATTACTTTAGGATGAATTTCTAATCCTAATAGCTTTTATATATGTTTTTTCTTGCTACACTACATAGGTTAGGCCCCCAGGATAATTTTTTTTTTAAAGATTTTTATTTTTTTATTTGAGAGAGACACAGAGAGAGAGCAGGAGCAGAGAGAGGGAGAAGCAGAATCCCCGCTGAACTGGGAGCCTGATGCGGGGCTCAATCCCAGGACCCTGAGATCATGACCTGAGCTGAAGACAGACGCTTAACCCACTGAGCCACCCAGGTGACCCCCTTTTTTAAGATTTTATTTGAGAGCAAGCGAGAGAGCAAGCAATCACGTGCGTGCGTGAGCGAGGGGAGGGGCAGGGCGGAGGGAGAGTGAGAGGGGGAGAATCCCAAGCAGACTCGTGCTGAGCACGGAGCGCATGCGGGACTCCCATCTCATGACCTTAACATCATGACCTGAGCTGGAACCAAGAGTCAGATGCTTAACCCAGGCGCGCCTCCACCCCAACCCCCGCCAGTATAATGTTGAAAAGAAATGTGGTCTACTTACCATCTTAAAGGAAATGGCACCATGATTCACCAAAGTAAGACGTTTGCTATAGGTTTTTTGTAAATGCCATTTATCAGGTTAAGGGGGCTCTACTCCAAGTTTTCTAAGATTTTTTAAATTATAAATGGCTGCTGAATTTTATCAAAACTTTTTTCTGCCTTTTTTTTTTTGAGAGAGAGAGAGAGCATGCGTGGACAAGCGTGGTAGGAGGAGCAAAGGGTGAGAGAATCTTAAGAAGGCTCCCACGTGGGGCTCGATTTCACGACACTGAGATCGTGACCTGAGCCAAAACCAAGAGTCAGAAGTTTAACCAGCTAAGCCACCCAGGCACCCCTGCATTCTTTAATTCTCTTTTCTCCATTGTTAAACCTCCCTTGCATTCTAGGAATAAACTCCGTTTGACTGTGGTTTCTTTCCTATTCGTTGCTGGATTTAGTTTGCTATGTTGTTTTCCATTTTTCAAATGTGCCTTCATGATTACGATTAACCTTTGTGAATTCTAGTCTCTTGAAATTAATTTGGGGTTTGTTTGCACTTTTTCTGTGCTTTAGAATAATTTGTATAAGATTAGAATTACTTTCCTTCTGAATGCTTAGAACTCGCCTGACAAATAGTCTGAAATTGAGCTTGCTTTCTGGGAAGATTTTTTTTTTTTTTTTAAGTTACCTCTACGCTGGAACTCATGACCCCTGAGATCAAGAGTTGCACGCGCTACCAATTGAGCCAGTCAGGTGCCCCTTTCTGGGAACATTTTTAAAATAGAGATCTGATTTCTTTGTTATTAAATTATCATTTAAAAAAATCCCTAATAATGTCTTTCAGACTATTTTTTTCTGATATGAATATAGCCACAACCGATTAACACTTGTCCATTTTTTCCCTTTACTTCCAAACTTCTGGTATTCTTGTTTTAGCTGTGCCTCTACCAAACAGCCTTATCACTTGACGTTTTAAAAAATTCATCCTGGGTCCCTGGGTGGCTCAGTAGGTTAAGCATCTGCCTTTGGCTCAGGTCATGATCCCAGGGTCCTGGCATGGAGCCCCGTGTCCAGCTCACTGCTCATCGGGGAGTCTGTTTCTCCCTCTACTCTTCCCCCACTGCTCGTGATCTGTCTCTCTCAAATAAATAAAGTCTTTAAAAATAAATAAAAATCGGGGTGCCTGGATGGCTCAGTCAGTTGAGCATCTGCCTTCAGCTCAGATCATGATCCCAGGGTCCTGGGATCGAGTCCTGCATCCGGCTCCCTGCTTAACAGAGAGTCTGCTTCTCCCCCTTCCTCTGCCCCTGCCCCCTGCTCATGCTCCCTCTCTCTCTCAAAATCTTTAAAAAAATAACAATAAAAAATGCATCCTCACATAACCTATTATTGTCATATATTTTAATCACTCCTATAAGACATTTTATTATTTATAATTAACTTACATATTTACCTCTTTCTTTGCTCACTATTTCTTCTTATATTTCATACCTTAAATTTGGGATTATGTCCTTTTTGCTTAAAGCACATTTTTAGGATTGTAATGGTCTGCTGCTAGCCAACTACTTTTATCTGACAAATGTATTTAACCCTCATTTTTTTAATTTTCTTTTTTTTTAAGATTTTATTTATTTATTTGAGAGAGAGAGAAAAAAAAACAGCATGAGAGGGGAGAGGGTCAGAGGGAGAAGCAGGCTCCCCACCAAGCCAGAGGCCTGACGTGGGACTCGATCCCAGGACTCCAGGATCATGACCAGAGCTGAAGGCAGTCGCTTAACCAACTGAGCCACCCAGGCGCCCACCCTCATTTTTTTTTTAAGATTTTATTTGAGAGACAGAGAGAGCGAGAGAGTGAGCGTGCATTAGTGGGGGCAGGGAGGGGCAGAGGGAGAGGGAGAATTATGGGATCGAGTCCCACAGATGTTATACTTTTTTAAAAAAAAATTTTTTTAAGTGGTTCTCAATGCCCAACATGGGGCTTGAACTCATGACTCTGAGATGAAGAGTTAATGCTCTACCAACTGAGCCAGCCAGGTGCCTAATGAATGTTACCTTCTTGTATCAATCTTTACCTCTCTTCCATATTTCTCTTTTCTTCTCTGCACTACGTATGGATTAAGTAGGGTTCACACTAGGCATTTTTTTTTAAGTAGGTTCAACACTCTCCACCCTGAGATCAAGACCTGAGCTTAGATCAAGAGTTGGATGCTTAATTGACTGAGCCACCCAAGTGCCCCTATATGGATTTCTTTAGATCTACCTTCGTGTCTAATCTGTTGTTACACTCCCTCAATTTTTTTTTTCCAAAATATAGTCACTTTTATTGTCTCCTGCTCTATATTTTACTCTATCTTAAATATAGTTCAAAGTATATGATAAGCCCAATATTTATTTGAGGGGGGAGATCTCAAGCAGGCTCCACACTCAGGGCAGAGCCAGACACAGGGCTTGATCTCACGACCCCGAGATGATGACCTGAGCTGAAATCAAGACTCGGATGCTTAACTGACTGAACCACCCAGATGCCCCAAGCCCAATATTTAAAGGTTTTACGAGTCTGCTCCTGTCCAATCACACTGTTTTATTTCCTCATGTGTTTTGTAATTTGAATTCTGAGTTGATGGTAGGTTCCTTCATGATTTTCATTTGCTTATGCCAGGGGCCTAAAAAACTACTAGCCTACGGCCACTGTAAACTAAATTCCTGTTCTGAGTTTTTTAGAATCTTCATTCCGTTGAGTTGTATGAATTCGAGTCACATTGCTAAGCACCATAATAGAAAATAAATAGTTCTAACTTTGGCACAAAGACCTAAAGGACTAGAGGGGTTAGAATAAGCCGCTTCTTTTTTTTTTTTTTTAAAGATTTTATTTATTTATTTGACAGAGAGAGACACAGCGAGAGAGGGAACACAAGCAGGGGGAGTGGGAGAGGGAGAAGCAGGCTTCCCACAGAGCAGGGAGCCCGATGTGGGGCTCGATCCCAGAACCCTGGGATCATGACCTGAGCCGAAGGCAGACGCTTAACGATTGAGCCACCCAGGAGCCCCTAAGCCGCTTATTTCTACAAGGTTACTCCTTGTTGGTGACCCAGACTTAGACAAGGGTAGTTAATTTAGGGTGAAATATATAAAGGTATATAAATATGTATATATACAAATATATAAAAATATATGTGTATAATATAGTCAGTGCATATAAGCCTGTCTATAAATCATCTCAACTGTTATAGCACTCTGATGTCATCAGATATGTGGCTAATAATTATATTTCAAAGTACAGTCACTGAAGAGAAAAAGATTAGAGGAAGTTGTCTTAAACTTATTACTAACTCTAAAATATTCTTCTTGTTAAGAATTACTAGTTGCATCTGTGAATGTTGACAACTTTTCTCCATGCAAGAATATTCTTCATTGGGCGCCTGGGTGGCTCAGTTGGTTAAGCGACTGCCTTCGGCTCAGGTCATGGTCCCGGGGTCCTGGGATCGAGTCCCACATCGGGCTCCCGGCTCAGCGGGAAGCCTGCTTCTCCCTCTCCTACTCCCCCTGCTTGTGTTCCTGCTCTCGCTGTCTCTGTCTCTGTCAAATAAATAAATAAAATCTTTAAAAAAAAAAAAAATATTCTTCAGTTACCATTATATACTTTTAAGCAATTTAACATTTATACCATTCAAATCAGATGTAATAATTAACACAACATAGGAAAACTTCTAGTAAAATTATTTTATTTAGTTATAATATCCATCACCAACAGCTTGAAATAAAAATTTTCATGGTCTTCAATTGAACTGTATGCCACTTTCTTTTAGAATGTCTTGTTTTTCATTAAAATAATTTCTAAACCACTCTATGTGTTCAATCTTCTGTTTAACACTCAGGTATGGGTTTTTGGAAAGGCCACAGGTCACCAGCTCCATGAAGTGGCGAATGGGTCCTTGTTTTGGAAAATCTTTCAGGTGTTTATCCAGAAATACATGTTCATGAAATTCTGAACCATCATCATCAAAACCTAGGAAATGAGATAAAATACATTACAATTTTGATGTAAAACCTCTATTGTAAAATTAACATTAATGAGTATTACAGTTAAAGCCATGAACTTTGGAGTTAGATCTAGGTTTGCCCGCCAATTTACTAATTGGGCAAATTAATTAACCTGAGCATCAGGTATAAAATGAGGCTTCCTTGGGTTTCTGTAAAGATTACAAAGACACAAAACTTATAAAACTCTTATAATGCTTAGCACATTATAAATGTTCAAAGTGTAGCAGCAGTTACTGCTAATGAAAACTTCAATTCTAAAGCAACCACTAAGAAAACTATACAAACTACACTAAAAAAAATTATATAAATAAAACAAAATAGAATCTTAAAACATGTTCAAGCAGCCCACAGGAAGCCAAAGGGGAAAAAAAAGGAATGAGAAATGGAGAAAATGAACAGAAAACAAGTAATAAAATAGGTGATTTAAGTCCTAATAAATCAGTAATTGCTTCAAATGTAAATGGTCTAAATATACCAATCAAAAGACAGAGATTGCAGAGTGAATATAAAAACATCCAACTATATGCTTTCTATATGAAACTCACTTCAAACACAACATAGGAAGGTTGAAAATAAAAGGATGGAGAAAAATATATCTTGTTAACATTAATTAAAAAAAAAGAAAGCATGAGTGGTTATATGATTATCAGACAAAACAGACTTCAGAGCAAAAAAAATTACTAGGGGGAAAGAAAAACATTACATAATAAAAGGGTCAATCCACCAAGAAGACATAGTGATGTGAATTATGTATGCACCGAACAATAGAGTTTCTAAATACGTGAAGAAAAAAATGATAGAAATAAAAAAGAAACAGAAAAACCCACAATTATAGTGGGGATTTCAACAGTCCATTGTCAGCAATTCCAAGAACTACCAGGTGGAAAATTAGCCAAGATAAAGAAGAACTGAACAATATCAACAAACATTATCAAACTGACGTCTACAGAACACTCCACCAAACTATTTCAGAATACAAATTCTTTTCAAGCATTCATGGAACATTCACCTAGCTGGACCACATCCTGGGTCACAAACTGCAACACACTTAAAATAACTGGAGTAACACATAGTACATTCTCAGACCATAATGGAATCAAACTAGAAATCAGTAACAGAAAGACAATAGGAAACAGTTAAAATTAAACAATATACTTAAAAAACTCAGAATTGCCATGAAAATGAAAACACAACAAATCAAAATTCGTGGCTAAAGCAGTGCTAAGAGGGATACATACAGTACTAAATGAATACATAAGAGGAAAAGTCTCAAATCAATAATCTAAGTTCCCACCTCAAGAACCTAGCAAAAGAGCAAAATAATCCCAAAGGAAGCAAAGGAAGGAAATAATAAAGATAACATCCAAAGTCAGTAAAATTGAAAATAGAAAAATAGAGAAAAATCAATGAAACCAATACTAGTTCTTTAAAAAAAAAAATCAGTGAAATCAATAAATCTCTATTAAGTCTGATAAAGAAAAAAGGAGAAGAATGAAACAGGAATGAAAAGGGGGTTATCGCTATAAATCCTGAAACCATCAGAGGCATCATAAGGGAATACCACAAACAACTATACACTAAAATACTCAACAACTTAAAAAAAAAAAAAAAGGACAACTTAAAGAAAATCCACTAAAGGACCAAAATTCAAATCAAAATAGGTAACTTGAATTGTCTTGTAACTATTAAAGAAAAGGAATTTGTAGTTTAAAAGGTCTCAAAAGAGAAATCCCTCAGCCCAGATGGCTTCACTTGAGAATTTTATTTAACACTGAAAGAAAACAAACACCAACTTTACACAATCTCTTCTGGAAACTAGAACAAAGAACACTCCTAACTCATTTTATAAGGCCAGTATTACCTCGTTACCAAACCAGACAAAGACACAACCACAAAACAAATAAATTGAGAGAGAGAGAGAACTACAACCCATTATCTCTCATGAACTTAGAGGCAAAAACTTTAAACAAGATTAGCAAACAAACTCAACAATGTATAAAAAGATTTATATACCAAGATCAAGTGGGACTTAGACCAGGTGTGCAGGGATGGTGCAACATTTGAAAATCAATGTAATCCACCATATCAACAGGTTGAAGAAGAAAAGTCCTATGATATAACACCCATTTTTTTTAAAGATTTTATTGATTTATTTGAGAGAGAGAGAGAGCACAAGAAGGGAGAGGGGCAGAGGGAGAAGGATTCCCAGATGAGCAGGGAGCCTGACTCGGGGTCCAGTCGTAGGACCCTGGGATCACGACCTGAGCCAAAAGCAGACACTTAACTGACTGAGCCACCCAGGCACCCCACAACACCCATTTTTGATAAAATTCTCACCAAGTTAGAAAAAAAGAAAAACTACTTCAACCTCATAAAGAGCATCTACAAAAAATCTATAGCTAATATCATACTTGATGGTAAAAGACTGAAGGCTTTTTCCCTAAGTTCCTGAACAAGACAACAAAGTCAGCTCTTACTTACCACTTTTACTCAACACAGTACTAAAAATTTTAGCCACTGCAATGAGGGAGGAAGAAAAGGCATACAGATGGCAAAGGAAGAAATAGAACTACCCCTATTTGTAGATGACATGTTTGTCTACATAGAAAATCCCAAAGAATCTACAAAAAAAAAAAACCCTCCTAGAACTAACTAGTCAGTTCAGTAAGGTTACATGATACAAGATCAACACAAAAAAATCACTCACATTTCTAATTACATTTAAACTGGAAAACTCAACACACTAAGATATTCTCTCCAAACTGATCTATATGTTTAATGTACTTCCTATCAAAATCTCAGTAAAGTTTTGCCACCAACAAGTTTATTCTAAAATTTACATGGAAAGGCAAAAGTTGTAGAATATTACAACAATCTTGGAAGAGAAGAACAAAATGGGAGCAATAATGCTAAGATTTAGCTAAGAAATAGCTACACTCATCAAAAGTGTGTATTGACAGAGGGACAGACACATAGATTGATGGGACAAAAGGGAGGGCCCAGAAATAGACTGTTAGGGACCCCTCAAAATCGATAGGTTGAGGTCCTAACCCCAATGTGACTATATTTAGAGATAGGACCTTTAAGAAGGTAATTAAGGTTAAATGAAGTTGCAACAGTGGAGTCCTGATGGACTGGTGCCCTTATAAGAAGAGGAAGAAACACAAGGAGCACCCATAGAGAAAAGATCACATGAAGACACAACAAAAAGGCAAACATCTACAAACCACGAAGAGAGGCCTCAGGAAAAATAAAACCTGCTGGCACCTTGATCTTGGGCCTTCAAGCCTCCAGAACTGTCAGAAAATTAATCTGTTCAAGCCACCCAGTCTGTGGTTTTTTGTTATGGCAGCCCTAGCAGAGTAATACAGACCCACACAAATGTGCCCAATTTTTAAAAAATATTTTATTTCTTTGACAGAGAGAGAGAGACAGACAAACAGAGAGCACAAGCAGGCAGAGCGGCAGAGGGAGAGGCAGGCTCCCCACTGAGCAGGAAGCTCAACGTGGGGCTCGATCCCAGGATCCCGGGATCATGAGCCAAAGGCAGACACTCAACCGACTGAGCCACCCAGGTGCCCCAAATGTGCCCAAACTTTTAAACAAAGGTGCAAAGAATTCAATGAAGAAAGGATAGTCTTTCTGACAAATCATGCCAGAGCAAGTGGATATCTATTGACACACACACAGAAAGAACTTCAACCTAAACCTCATACCTCATATAAATTAACCCCAAATGGATCATGAATTTAAATGTAAAACTATAGGGGAGCCTGGGTGGCTCAGTCAGTTAAACGTGCTTGTGTCCTACTCCCCCTGCTTGTGTTCCCTCTCTCGCTATGTCTCTCTCTGTCAAATAAATACAATCTTTAAAAAAAAAATTAAAGATTTAAAAAAAAATAAACGTAAAACTATAGATTTTACAGAAAAAAACACAGCGGAGTGCCACTTGGCTGGCTCAGTCAGTAGAGCGTGGGACTCCTGATCTTGGGGTTGTGAGTTCAAGCCCATGCTGGGTGTAGGGAATGCTTAAAAATAAAATCTTAAAAAAGAAAAAAACAGGAAAATATTCCAGTTCAAAGCTGGCAAAGAACTTGACACTAAAAGTACCATCCATAAAAGGAAAAACTGGACTCCATCAAAATTAAAAACTTTTGCTCTGTGAAAGACTCTGTTAAGAGGATGAAAAGACAAACTACAGACTGGGAGAAAATATCTGCAAACTAATTTTTTTTTCCTTTTTTTTTAGAGAAAGAGAGCCGGGGAGGAGCACAGGGAGAGGGGGAAAGAGAGAATCTTAAGCAGGCTCCATGCCCAGCACAGAGCGCGATTTGGGGCTCGATCTCACAACCGAGATCAAGACCTGAGCCGCAACCAAGAGTCAGATACTTAACTGACTGAGCCACTCAGGCACCCCAATGCAAACCAAATACTCAATAAAGGTCTAGTGTCTGGAATATATTCAAAAAAACTCTCAAAGCTCTACAGTAAGAAAACCAGACAATCCAATTAGAGAATGGTCAAAAATAGCACTGAGGACCATAGGGGAAGGGAGGGAAACCTGAAGGGGCAGAAATCAGAGAGGGAGATGAACCATGAGAGACTATGGACCCCGGAAAACAAAGTGAGGATTTGAGGGGAGGGGGTAACAGGGTGATGGGTATTAAGGAGGGCACATGTGGTGATGAGCACCGGGTGTTATACCTAACTAACGAATTGTCGAACACTACATCAAAAACTAATGATGTACTACGCAGTGGCTAACTGAACATACTAAAAAAAAAAAAAGAGAGAATGGGCAAAAAAAACCAAGAACAAACATTTCATTGAAGAAGACATACAGATGGCAAACACACACAAGAAAAACAAGGTCAACCTCTCTAGCCATTAGGGAAATGCAGATTAAAACCACAATGAGCTATCAATACACATCTATCAGAATGTAAACACATCTAAAAGAAAAAT